TCGCCAAACGAGTGGGCGTGTTTAAGATATATTATGAGCCGGAATCGCCAAATGAAGGGGCGGCGATTTTAGGAAAAAACTTGTGCCGTTCGCCAAACGAGGGGCATGTTTTAAGATATATGCATCACCGGCATCGCCAAATCAGGGGCCGTCTTTAAGATAGGTGATGAAGTAGCATCGCCAAACGAGGCGGGCGTTGTTAAGATATATAAATCTTGAACCGGAATCGCCAAATGAGGCGTGTTCAAGATATATGATGTATCGGAATCGCCAAACGAGGGGGCATGTTTAACATTTATTCGGCACGGCATCGCCAAATCAGGGGCCGTCTTTAAGATAGATGATGAAGTAGCATCGCCAAATGAGGGGGCGTGTTTAAGATGGATGATGAGCCGGAATCGCCAAACCAAGGGGCGTGTTTAAGACATATCTTGACCAAGGCGGAGAAGTCACAATTGATTTTCGCCGAGAGGGATTGCAAATTTTCCTGTCAGAGAAGTCACGAGGCGGAGATGGCGGAGAAGTCACAAGTGCTTTGAAGCACTTTTGCCGAGACGTGTTGCAATTCTTGTGTCAGTTAGCCAAAACAGAAGTCACAAGTGACCCTAGTCTCGGGCAAGCCTGGAGAAGTCACAAGTGAGCCTAAATAGAAGTCACAAGCGAACCGCCTTCCGGAAGTGTGTGTATGTGTGATCGTGTGAACCTTCCTCGCTCATGGACCTGGAGACAGAGGGTCGCACTCGCGTGGCCATTTGGAGATCGTGAGGAGAACCCCTAAATCAGGTAGCAGAAATACCAAATTTCGAGTCATGCTCGGCCAGGGAAGCGGCCCGTCGCCAGAGGCCAGATACAACGGGGTGCAACCTTAATTTTTTGTCCTGGGCTGGCATCTAGAGTTCAGCGCAATGCACAGATTGAGCTTTTCGTGACAGTAGACGGCCACTGGGACTGTGCACAGGCGTGGCGCGACTTCCGGGCCCAGCTCATCGCCCGCGAGGACATGAACAATGATGTTGACCAAGGGCTTGTCATGTCCACAAATGACAGACCATGCTGCCCTGCAGTGTAGAGACGTTTCTGACGAGTCTTGAAGATGTACAGACTGGCTTTGTCTGCATTTCGTTTTGCCTCTTAGGGCCCCGTCGCGTCGTGTAAGTTCCGATGCCGTTAACAGTTGCTGTTGTGTGATCAGCGGCTTTACGCGAGCATCAGAGACAGGATAGGCCTGAAGAAGCGACAGGTTCGAGCACTTCTGCAGGCTGTCGTGGCCTGAGTCTACAAATGCCTTGCAAGGAGGCGGAGGCTACTGGCCGTGAGAGGCGAACCGTGGCCCCAAAGAATGCGCAGCTCTTGCGCAGTCAGAGTGAGGACCAGAAAAGTGGCATGCTACGTTCGCCATGTCCCAACTGCAGGATTCTTTAGTCGTGAAGTTCTGTGATCTCGAGTTGCTAGTACTGGTAGCAGTGGCGAGGAGACGCGGGACCCGAATTGTGGTCTGGACATGTTTCAGACACGAACCTTTTGCAGGAGCTTTGGAATGTTGCTTGGCAGATCAACACTTTGACGTCAGAGCTGCCTTGAATGTTGACCTGGCGGATGCATCGGCTGGCCGGCCCAAACTCAATCGTTTTCAATTCATCGTAGCTTCTGCCTCATTTTTCGGTGCCGGCAGCCCAATCCAAGGAGTACATGAACGGTGCCTGGGCGCACGTTGCTCCGGTAGAGGCCACGAAGCCCGTTGTGATGCAGTTCCGCATGCTCGAATATGCACAAGCATCATCACCCAGTTGTTTCGTAGATGGACAACCTCAGAGGCACGGCTGGACTTAACCTGAATAGCGTCGCAGCTGGACTGACACGGCCGCCAGGTGGGCGGACTGCTCTGCCGCAGCCCACTTCCTGCCCAGATCACCTGGCTGATGCGCCAGGCCAGGCCAGGCCCAGCACAACTCGGCTCAGTGCCTCAAAATGCAACTTGCTCCCTTTGCTGAGAACAGCAGCCGCTTCGTCTGGGCTCGACGGCTCCGAGAGCGAATCCTTCAGGAGCTGCCGGAGGCACCAGAGCAGTGCACAGGCTAATGTAGGCATGAGAGGATTGCCACCAAGGCACCAGGACAGAGACGCTCTGACCTCTCGACTCTGATTACATGCTGTCGTGCTGTCTGACTGCTGCATCATGTTGCATCCTAGAAAACGTCTGCGAGATTCTGCGAGGTCTCCGGTCGGCAACCTGAGGACTGCCAAGTTCCGGTTTACATGGGAAAGTCCTTCTCTAGTCATCTGCCACGTAAAGTCATCCACGAGCAGCAGAGTCCTCATCTGCACCAGGAGCTCTTCGAGACCTGGTCGCAAAACACGATGTTCTGCACCTTTGCTGCAGAGGTGCCGTATGAGTAGGTTCTGCTCGCCACGAGACTTCAGGCTGGGTTTGGTGCAAAGACAAGATCCACGAGAAACGAACAGGAGCATGAGATGGAAGAGCTCTGCAGAGATTTTGCTGAGGTTACAAGGTAGCTGACAAGCTGACAGAAACGGCTCCTTGGAACAAATTGTGAGCCAAGCCTCTTGATGATAAATCTCGGCAGCCAGAGCCAACCTTCGAGAATCGTCTGGAGTGAAGATTGCACGAATGACCATTGGCACGCATCAAGAGAGATTGCATCCTTGTTTTATTCTATGATGGATGAAGCCGTGCTGGAGGCTCTGCTGGAAATAGCTGCCAGCGCAAAGAAGAATGGCAGCTTGGACATCACTGGTTGCAATCGTTTGGCTGTACATGGCCCTGCCGTCCCTGATGCGTGAGAAATGAGGAATTGACATGCGCTCTCTGGATGATGCAGTGGCTTGGTAAGCAAGAGGCACGAGACACCAAGTGGTTTCTGAAGTTCAGCCCATGCAAAATCTGTATCCTGTTTCGTTCTACGCCCTTCTAGCCAAGGGCCGTGAGCTGGTGATGCTGTACGGAAGCATGGACGCGGGTTTGTTGAACTTTCGGATTGCATGCTGTCCGCACATTCACTACTTTTTGAGCTTTGCCATTGGTTGACTTCGAGTTCACGGCACCTTTCCCAAGCCTTGATGAGACATCGCAATCAGTTGAAGGGATGACTAATCGGTTTATAGTCTCTGAACATGACTTTGCTGGACTTCAAGGCCACGGGACTGAAACAACCTGGCCATCGACGACACTGCTGACCTGTAAGTTAACACCATGCAGTACCCTGTAGTTCAGTGGACATACGTGGCAGGAGCGCACCTGGCAGTCGGTGTGCCTGGTGCTTCACGCCGATTCCACCAGTTGCGCTGCACAGGCGAGGTGCTGGTGTGTGTCTCGATGTTTCTCCAGGAACCTATTTGCAAATTCGCTGCTGTTCTCCAATGTGCACGGCTGTCCCAACTGGCATCGACATTGCCCGACCCTGTGAAGTCGAGGGCGGTCAAAGATTGGCAGTCAACTATTGCATTTCCATGCCCGGTCAGGCCGTCGCCATAAATCGTCCATTCGCCAGGTGCAGCTTGAAGCGTGCTGTTCTAAAATCGTTTTGGACCAAATGTCGGCAGGAAGTCTTACAGTCCTACATCCTAGGCATTTCCAAGTAAGCCCTAAAACGCATCGATATCTTGGGGGAGCGAGCTTTGCAAGTGTGTGCCAGCCTGCTGCAAGCTCGCAACAATCAGCCGTGTTACGTGCTCGTGCATTCTGATGTCCGACAACGAGCTTGGGCTGAGCATGGTGAGCACGGTTTTCAAATGGCTCGAGATCGAGTCGAGGTCGGTGGACGACGCCTTGGCGCGGTTCCTCCTCTTCGGTGCCCCGGCTGCTTCCAGTGACTCGCTCAGCGAAGAGGACCGGCAGAGTCGAGTCGCTCATAGCTGTCATCGTTTTCCGCAACACGGTCAGCATGATGCCAATCTTCCTGATCTTCATCATGCTCTTCTTATCGCTTTCATCAGCATAGACACTATCAGCATTGTCATCGTTTCCAGCATTTGATCCCACAGAGCTGCCGTGGACGGAAGACATGTTGCTCCGCTTTGGAGACTCGTTGCCAATGCCCCCTTGCTGCCTTGTTGACAGCAGAAAGCAATCACGAGGAACGATGATGATAATGATGGCGATGACGACGATGATTGAAGAAAGCAGTGGGTGGAACAAGTCCGCACCCTTTCTTACGTTCGGCATGTGCTGCTTCTTGGACAGTGCAACAGTTTTGATTGTTGGAGATGTTCGAATTTAAGTCATCATTAGAAACATTCATCATATTATTATCATGCCTGTTGCGGCCGTCGTTGTCATCGCGAGTCTGTGTCGGTAATCTCGACTGCTAAGGCTACAGCGTATGAGTCGATCTGACAGCGTCCCCCTTGCAGGAGCAGAGGGATCAGCAGAGGCTTCAGTACCGCTTTCTCGAAGTTGGGACCTCAGGGGACAGGTCGATTGTTGGTAGTAGCATGCTCTCGTTTGTTCAGCTGACGTGTCGACCGATGTTATAAGGACTGAGCACCATGCAGGGTTTTGGAGGTTTCAAGACGGGCCGAGTGGGAGCAAAATCAGACTTGTTTCGTGCTTGGAGGCCCGAAGCCAGAGAGCCTTTCGACGGAAGAGTGCCACCCGTGAGCCCATGAGAGGAACATTGACTCTGGAACAGACCAAGCGATGCGAACAGCGACGAAGCCCCAGGCCTCCAAGGCGAGCAGATTCTTGCAGGCATTCTTGCAAATGCAGATGTCGCTGAGCAATGATTTCCGGACCAGCAGAAATGTAACCATTCTGGTCACGAGGGCCGGGGGGCCTCGAAGCACTGTTTGGACGATGCTGGCCTGCAACGGCAGCCAACAAAATGTCAATCGCGAGCTGTCTTTGCCCGCGGAAGGCGGGCACATGCTTTGGGGGTGCCGTGAGAGTTTGGAAGAATGCGCAGATCTTGCCAAGACTGCGAACGTTTTGGGGGTATTTGGATTGCCATCAGAATGTTTGCACGGAATTTCTAGAATGTGGAGCAAGCATTTCTCTGAAGTTGCCCGTTGCTAGAAATAGAGCTCAGAATCTTTACAGAATCCTCTGCCCAGCCCAGGCTTTTGGCGACAACGCTGCAGTTTACATTGGCGGTCCGGAGATGCAGAGTGCACCAGGATCGGGTAGGTTCTGCCAATTTGCAGCGGCATTCTTCGGAGGCCTCAGAGTGCAAAAGCAAAATCCCCAAGGGAAGGACATGCTTCAGGGTTGTTGGATGAAGCTTCCAGTAGCTCCAGCAGACTCTAGCCGTGCTGTGGGCCCTCGAGGACTTCTGATCCACGGCTTTGAGCTTGAAGGATCATCGGAGCTGGCACCGGGAACTCGCATCTACCAAGGAGGCGGTCGGGGTTTCTTCGATGAACATTTCTGGGTGCAGTAGCTTCTATTCGCCAGTTGGTTTCTGTGTCGGCGACATGCTCTGTGTTGAACCATCCCTGGATCTCCTGTTTTCTCTTGGCGGTTTTCTAGGCGATGACGAAAGCTACTGGCAAAGCTGCAGCTTTTTCTCAACTAGCAGTCTGCTTCCTGGTAGGTGTCGAGGCTGCTATCGACGGGATACTTGCTGGAAGGTGCCTGCGGGGTTTTGCTAGGGCCAGAATGGTGAAGTGTGAATCTTACATGTCTGACTCCGGGATGAAGGGAAGGTTGAGTGGCCGGACATGTACGCTTGCTTCGCCCCACTTTCGGGCCTTTTGTAAAGCCCTGTCACCAGGTACTCCCCTCTAGATTTCCGCTGGTTCGTTGGCCGACATCTGCCGCACGGCTCCATGCAATCCCGTGGGCTTTTCAGGAAGCGTATCGTTTTCAGCCGCCCCCTGCTTTTGTTAAGCTGGTCTTCGGCATGCGATAGCCCAAATTGCCTGAGACTGGAAACCGAGGGACCTGCGCACGGACGACTTCGCATGGATCTCCATGGCTTCTGCACGGCCGTTGACGTTGAAGTGGCTGGCCGCAGAAGCGTTCTTCTACGTATATTCTTACATAGCTGAGACTCTAAGGCCATCTAGATGTGTGCGCACGCAATGTTTCAGGAGCTTGTGGCTTTCGTCCTTAACTGTCTGTCTATCTCTTCAAAGATCGTTTCTTTCGCTTCCGCTCCAAGCCCGAGCAGGATTACATCGACCTTTCAAGCAGCCTGAGCCTGCCTTCTTCCAAGCTGTCACGGCTTGTGGTGTTGGCGTATGTCCTTTGGCGTTTCGTGCGAAGGCAATGCCTGGGTCTGCCGAAGCCGCTGTGGCACGAGGCTGGGGGGCACTGTCTGGAAGGAAGCAGTTATTTTGTAGTGATAGACTTGCCATCAGAGAGAACGAAAGCAAAGATGTGGGCTTGGATCCCGTGTTGCATAGGCTAAATGCCCGTCAGCTAGCTTCGGAAAAAGACTTCATGTCGGGGACGTGGCGCGTGCGACGGGACTTCAAGGATGGAGGGGGCATGAGCCAAAACATGCATTGCCATTGTGCTCCAACGCGAGTTGATGGCAAAGTGTGGGACTGGCGCGTCGATTGCGGCTCGGAGGGGCGCATGAGAAGCTGAAGATGCATCTGAGCGGGTCCAGGAGAGACTCCGAAAGATTACAGATCTCTGCTGAGGCATTCAGATCATATCATTGCACGCAACATGCGTACCTGTGCAGAGGTGATGGAGCTCTGCGGTGGGGAGTGCCGCAGCTGACACAAGCTTTTTTTTTGCATATTCACAGATCGAAGCATAGACATTAGATACAGTTACAAGCAATCTTCTTGGAGGCTGGGCTCTTGAAATGCTACCGTTAGTTCGAAGGTCGTCCGCATAAGATCGTGCTGCGACGTCAGATCGGGTCCCCGAAGGGATCAAACTATGCCAACCATGCAGGATGCGAGGGGGCCTTGGCTTCAGATCGCTTTGACTCTCTGTGGGATGAAGGGACCTCGTTTAGCTTCGGGACACTTGGGATACATCATGAGTACAATCATGTAGGGAGGTGCTGCGTCACGATGCCTTCGAGCACGCCCGACTTTTTCCAAGTATCTCGAAACGCCAAAACCTGCGGTCTCGACTGTTCACTCTCGAACATGAACTTTGCTCCAGACAAAATGAATCCATACATCTGACGACATCGTGACAGGTATTCCGATCTCAGCCGTGTGGAGCTTGTGCAGCGTGCGGACTTGGACGAGGAGTGTTGCAGAAGTTTGCCGTGGGTCCTATGTCGAAACCTGTGAGCAAAGCATCTCTTGCTTCCAGGACGTCCGAAATGGCGACGAAAAAGATGACTCCAGAAGTGTCTAGAGCGCGCCTCCAAAACAAAAGCTTGCAACTCCTGCTCTACACAGAGGGAGTAGCAGCTGGACTGGTCAGAGAGCGACCCGTTGAGACTTAAGTTGCAGCATTAGGGGGTAGCTCAACTGTTCTTGGAAAAGCCAGAATGCAAGCGCCAAAAAAGGATACCTAAACCATCTCCAGACATGCCAGATGCTCTGCGTGCTGGCCGCCAGCGATCGCAAAATAATCGGCGGCATAGCAACACGGTCAGGACCGACGGATAAGAAACAGCAGCAGCATGATTCCTGTTTACAGCTGAGCGAAAGACAATGTACAGCGGCAGCTGCAGGACAGTCGCTGACTTGATGCGGAATTGGCGCACCTACGCCGCGGAGGACTTGCATGGCGATGTTCAACAGGTGCTTCTCGGGCTGAGCTCTGAGAGGATACGAGGAAGGACCAGGAGCCGAGCGACGGACGGTACCTGCTGCAAGCCAGCGAACAAGGCCCACCCGCCTTCGCCATTGTGGAAGAAGGCTTTCAATTTAAAGTGTTTTTGTTGGGTCTTTTCTTCGAACCTCCGGCCGCAGTCATGATCACATCAAGGACAAAGAAACATTGTTATGAACTCTGCAGGCTTAGACCGTAGATTCCTTAGATGCAGGGCCCGCCACTGCACCGCGAGGTTCTGACTTCGCCCTTCACAGCAAGGTGCTTTCAGGTCCAAAGGGTCCGACTTCGAGAGCCTTGTTGTGTGAAGATGCTCGGAGCCTCGCAGCACGGAAGAGCGTGGAGCAAGCAGCTAAGTCCACGCTGAGACAAACCAGTGCAACAGGCACACTGGGGAAGACACAAAAGCAACGACCCCTGGTCAGGCTTGGGTGCTCTTGGAGAGCGCCTGGATCTCAGACTCTCGAATCGTTCTCTGTTGTGTACTGGGGCAGGCGGGTACACGCTGTTAGGAAGCTCTGGCAGCTCAACCCCCGACCGGACCCTGCCGGATCTGTGCCGGCAAGGTCTGCACGACGAGCTAGACCTGACTTTTAAGGACGGGCTCGGGCTTCAGGTGTTGTGGTTGTCTCCCATTCCCTTCCTCCATTCGCCCGGTTTCAGTCCAAGCCTTCAGTGACCTTCGCATGCACGGTAGAATGCTAGCCTGTTCATCGCATGGAGAACAAGGAAGTCTTCTGCCTCCTTCTGTTGCTAGCTTGTGATCTGGCCAGACCTGTTGCTCCCAGCATGAACGAGGAAACCCGCCAAGTGGAGCCTTATGGCGCAGCTCTCAGTGAGTTCGGCGTTTCTTGGCTCGGCCGAGTCCAAGAGCGGTTCTAGAGATTCTGGAGACCCAGTTTGCTCCTGTCGGTCGTGTGAATGGCCAGTGCAAGCGCAAGTTTCGATACACTGGGAAGCAGACCCCAGGTCAAATCACGCAGAAAGTCAAAAGCAAATTGGCAGACGTGTAGCACGCTGAAACAGCGAAACCATTCTGGACAGTGCCAAAAGCCAAATCACATGGTGTACCGTGTGGAAGTGCGTGCGTTTGTTACTGTTGGTGTTTTCTGGATGTCACATAGCGCGGGAGGGGAAGCCAAGAAAGGAAGACCTGCGCCCCAATCAGGCACAACAGCGCCATGTACTAATGCAGACTTTGGCAACGAAGATTTGGGATGAAAAGAGGTTCAAAGCCGAAAGCAGCGAGCAATGCTCTGGACCAATTGCAGTGCAGAGTCTCGGTTGCGAAGGCCATGTGCCTGATCCGACATGATCAGCCAAAAAGTACAGTCGATGGCGGCGGCGAGAAGAATCAACTCATCGCTTCGTGTGGGGTGGCGAACTTCTTTGGGACCATGACCATTTTCTGCGTCACGTTGGCATCAAGTGGGAAGATCCAACAAACTGAGCTACGTCGCACGAAGGATAGGTTTTGGAAGGTTAGCTGCGGTTCGCCCAACGTGTGAGGTTTTTTTTTCAATCATGCTGCCCTCCAAAGATCGTGAATGCTTCCTCAGACTGGGACTCTTCTGGCGCCGTGGGTGACGCCGAACTCGAAGCAGCTGCTGGAGCCCCAAGCCTCGAAGCATGAGAACACTGGACAGAGCACAAGCTACAGCGCATCAGAGTGACTATCCAGAAGGAGTGACAGCTCTGGAAGCATCGAGAGCCGCGGATTGTGTCCCTCTTGCCGCAGGTCCGCACGGGCGAGGAGGTTACGATATCGCCGGCGACCCCAGATCGGAGATTGAAATTTGCTCCGGGAAATTGCTGCTAGCAGAGTGCCCAAATGTGAGCATACTTAGCATGAAACTGGCAGTAACACCAAATGTGGCAGCCGAATGAAAACAGCGCAAGTAAGCTATGTGGAGGCCGGGATGCCTGTGCTTTGAGAGCATGCAAGAAAACACCCTCAGATTAAAAGCCAGTATCAGGTTGGAGATGTTGGGCACGGTGCGCACGCAGTACGGAAAGGCGCAGACGGGTTGGTTTCCGTTACGGTTGTAGGTCACTGTTGCCTCGAGCTGAAGAGCAAGGTTTCTGTGGACGCTGTCTGTTGTGCGTTTCCGCTGCACTCAGTGACGTGTGGGTGGTCAGTGGTCAGCGAATCCTTGAAGCCATGGCATTTCGGGACGAGATTCGTGCCGATGGCGGTGCCAAAGCTGCATCATCAGCGGCATCCACTTCACTTGCGATTAAGTACGGGCATCAATGTGCGAAGACTGAGGCAAATTTTTGGCATACGCACACTTCTGAAATCTTGTGAAGCATCATGAAGGTTTGGGACGCTGCTGTAGTTTTAAATTTACCATTTCCCTCGCGATGATGATGATGATGATGATGATGGTGGTGCTGATGTGCTGATGTGCGCAGCGCTCTAGAGGCGTTGGGCACTTATCAGAATTCGGCCTGTCCTAGTCAGCTCGCTAGGCGTGTCTTATGGACTTGTGTGAGAGAGAGAGAGAGAGAG